GACTGCATGGTTACCTGTGCAGATGAGCTCTGCGTGGTCACCTTTGCTCTCCACGCTGGGCAAACAGGAAATGAAATTCAAAAGTTCGCGGGGCTTTTCCTGTCTACCTGGCCAGTGCATCCGAGTTCAGATTGCTGTCCAGAGCGGTCACAATGGTGCACTGTGGGATAGCTCCCGGAGGCCAATACCGTCGAATTGCGCCCACACTAACCCTAATTCGAACCGGCAATGTCGATTTCGGCGCTACTCCCTTCATCGGGGAGGAGTAGAGAAATTGATTTTAAGAGCCCTTTATGTCGAAGTAAATGGCTTCGTTATGTGGACGGGTGCAGGGTTAATTCGATTTAACGCTGCTAAATTCGATCTAAACTCGTAGTGTAGACCAGGCCTTAGTAAACGCTGAGCTAAAGAATGGGGGGAGGGGAGCAAACTTTTTGGAAATTTTGCATTTCATTTTATTATTAGCTAGTCTTTAAAGACTGACTTTTTTGTAAAGAACATGGTTAGGAAGGAGGGTGTGATTTTGAGAGGATGGGGGCTGAGTGTGAGGGGATGGGGCAGGTAGTGACAGGGTTGGGATGGGGAAGGGAGGGAGCAGAATGTGAGGGTATGTAAGTAACTGTATGATCTTATTTTGAATTGTTTTTCCAAGGTAGTGGTGTGTGTACATTTCTTGGGTGGTGACTCTTCTTAGATGCTCCTGGAGTACAGCATCAAACTCAGCCATCAGCGCCACAATTTTAAGGAAGTTTCCATTGTTTGGCAAATAGAGCTGATCTGAAGTGCCACGCAGTGCTAGATTTTGGGTAGCAAGCATTCTCACAATGGCAATGAGCCTTTTCAGAACATTTTGCCAGTAAAGAGACTCTGATGAAATCTTCTCTTGATGCTGATAATCTATGGGGCCTTTAACCTTAGTCTCATCTCAAGCTCTTTCCACCTATGGAATGCTCTCTGGTGATTTGCTGCCTTCTCGTGGCATGCCAGATTTCTAGCTAGATTTTTCCAGTCCTTTGTTCCTGTAGAACCCAATGTGACTGGAACGTTAGACTGGAAGAGTTTGCAACAGAAACAGTATGCAGCATTCTGGGTTTTTGAGTACATAAGCCATGGCCTCTCCACTTTGTCACCATTGGGGATTTCATGCCAGAAATATGTTGGATGGAAACTTCTATTTTCATTGTCTTTGGGGAACATGAAGTTTTTCACTTGCTGTGGCCCATGCAGTACAAGGAAGTCCCTCAGGCTACTGCTCAAGTGGGTCCACAGTCCTGGATCATCTAGACTTAAGGAATTAAACTCTGCAGCAGCTGTTTCTTGCACTTCCATCACACTCTTCTCTGATCTACACTTTTCTTCAGGAATGTGCATGGTTACATCCATTTGAGATGAAGATATGGATGCTGGAGTAGCTACCAGGTCACCTGCACTCTGACTAACTGGAAGATCAGGCATCTCCTCACCACTCACATCCTCACTGGGGCTGGAAGGCTCACCGTGAAAGGCTCACCGTGAACATTTGTGTCTATGTATCTCAGGAGACCTCCTTCCTGCTTAGATAGAAAAGCTTCCTTTGCTTTCTTTCTTTTTCTAAATGCTGCCCCAGAGGGGCATTTTCTTCTTTCACTCATGACTGCTGTTCTGTGCCAGCTATAGTGGCTCTCAACACTCAAGTGAAGGGGACAAATAAGCAGGCTGGTAGCAGGGCCTGAGTGAGGGAAGATATCAGGGTCTTAAGGGCCTAACTGGCTCCTACTACTTCAGTTGACTGCCTGTTCTCCTCAAGTGGGTTCAGGGAAGCATCAAGAAACAGGAAGCTTCCTGAGAAGCTGGTGTTAATCAGTCCAGGCTCCTGGGGGTGCTAGAGAGGTACATAAGAGACTCCTCCTCCTCCTCTCTCTCCCTGCAGCTCCTGCTGTTTTCTGTTAGTCCCTCTCACCTTTTCTCCTGCCTGCCTGTTATATCTCTTGTTCCCTCCTTCCTCCAGCACAGCACTCCACCATCTCCGTGCATCTAGAGCAGAGAGAATACATATGCACCAGCAGCAGACACAATTTTCTACACTCTGGGTCCTAGTGGCACCCCCCCCCCAGTCTGGCACCTGAGGTGGCTGCCTCAGTTCGCCTCATGGTTCAGGGCAGGCAATAGCAGGCTTGGGAGGGGGCTGAATATAAGAGTTTGGGGCAGGCAGTGACAGGGTTGGGACGGTGAAGGAACAGTACTGAGTGTGAGGAGCAGGGCATGGTAGGCCTTGGGCAGTGAGATCAGGGGTTGGGAGACAGGGCAGAGTGTGACAGGTAGGGTGACCAGGTGTCCAGTTTTTGACCAGAACACCTGATCGAAAAGGGACCCTGGCGGCTCCAGTCAGCACCACCAACCAGGCCGTTAAAAGTTTGGTCTGCGGTGCTGCGGAGCTAAGGCAGGCTAACCCTACCTGTCCTGACTCTGTGCTGCACCCCGAAAGTGGCCAGCAGGTCCAGCTCCTAGGCAGGGGGGGCCACAGGGCTCCGCACATTGCACCCGCTACAAGCACCAGCTCCACGCTCCCATTGGCTGGGAACTGTGGCCAATGGGAGCTGCGAGGGCGATGCCTGCGGGCGAGAGCAGCACACAGAGCCTTCTGCCACGCCTCCACCTAGGAGCCAGACCTGCTGGCCGCTTCCCGGGCGCAGCGTGGTCTGCGGTGCCAGGACAGGCAGGATGCCTGCCTTACCCCCCACGCCGTGCCACTGAGTGGGCGCCACTGAAGGTAAGCCCGTGCCCCAACCCCGAGCCCCAACCCTAGCTCTGAGCCCCCCCCCCAAACCCAGAGCCCGCTCCTGCACCCAAACCCCTCATCCCCGGCCCCACCCCAGAGCCTGCACTCCCATATGGAATCCTCACCCCCTCCTGCACCCCAACCCCCTGCTCAAGCCCAGAGCCCCCTCCCACACCCTGAACTCCTCTGCTCCACACCCAGCTTGGAGCCCCCTCCTGGGCCCCTCATCGCCAACCCCACCCCAGAGCCCACACCCCCAGATGGAGCCCTCACCCCCCTGCACTCCAACCCCCTTGCCACAACCAGCAGCCCCCTCCTGAACCCTGAACCCCTCATCTCCATCCCCACCCTACAGCCTGCACCCCCGAGCCGGAGCCCTCACCTGCCTGCCCCCAAACCCTCACACTCCGCCCCCTCCTCTCCCCATCCCAACCCTGTCATTGCCTGCCCGAACCCTCACACTCAGCCCCCTCCCCATCCCAACCCTGTCATTGCCTGCCCCGTCCCCTCACACTCAGCCCAATTCGCTGCCCACTCCCCTCACCGCCCCGCCCCCTCACTCTGTGACCCGCCTCCTGCCCCGTCCCCTGCAACTCCGCTGGTCTCAGACCCTGAGCCTGACCCTTTCCCCGGTCCCGCCCCAGCTCCTTTCCTCAGCCCGGTCCTGCCCCGCCCGCCCTCGCCCTTCAGCCCGCTCCCCCCGCAACGCGCCTCCTCCTGTTGGCCTTTCGCGTTGCCCTGGTAACGGGAGAAGCCGCCGGGCCTGTCCTGTAACCGCCGCGGGGTGCGGGAAGGCGGCAGCCGGGGCGGGACGGCGCGGCTGGGTCGCGGGTGCCGGGGACCTGGGACCGCGCTGCGGCGGCGCACGCACGCTCGGAGGAGCAGAGCAGGAGCCAGGCTGGTAACTGCCCCTGTCCGCCCTGGGGAGCAGCGAGAGCGGCGGGCGGATCCCGCGCTGCGTCCGAAGCTGAGCAGCACCGGGGTCTGGAGGCGACTCCACCGCCAGCACCCACCCGACGTGAGCATCCCTGCAGCGGGCACTGCCACAGAGCCAGGTACCTACGCCGTGCCAGTGCCAGCTTCACCCCGACTGCTCCCTGCCCCACAGAGCCGGGGACCTACCCCGTGCCAGTGCCAGCCTCACCCCGACTGGTCCCTGCCCCCACAGAGCCGGGTACCTACCCCGTGCCAGTGCCAGCCTCACCCCGACTGCTCCCTGCCCCACAGAGCCAGGTACCTACCCTGTGCCAGTGCCAGCCTCACCCCGACTGGTCCCTGCCCCACAGAGCCGGGTACCTACCTCGTGCCAGTGCCAGCCTCACCCCGACTGGTCCCTGCCCCCACAGAGCTGTCACAGAGTTGGGGTTACTCCAGATCCCCAGTGCCATACTCACTATGAGCTATTCCACAGAGCTACTCCACAATTCAGTGTGCGTGGGGTATTTGCAATTGAAAAGTTACAAAATTAAAAAAAGTTGAAACACTCCACATGTAGTGAATGTCTGTGTAAGTATACACATAAGAGTCTAAATTACTTTATTTCATTGTTTGCTTTTGACAGTTTAAAAGAACAATATAGAGGGGGAAATGGAGCAGAAATTGCAAGTGTTGCAGGAACAATTTGTGGTTGGGTAAGCACTGACTTCTGTTTTGGGGGTTGGAGCCCTTAATGGAATTGAATTTTTGTTGTTTTTTTAAAAGATGTAGAACATAGTTTTAAGATAATTCTTCTCCCATGCCCTTCATTGCTTTTTCTATGTATATTATGGAGAAGTAGTAGTCACTATTAAGTAGGGCAGTACAGCTCACTCCATGGTAATTTAATAATCTGATGCCTGTCTGTCATTTATTTAAATGTTTAAAACTATTTTAATTTACGTGGACAAAAGAAAGATGTATGAGCAATTTTTGGAAGCCCTAAGAATTTTCTTAAAATTGTTTTTAAAAGAACAGTTAAAGTTGGCAAGCCACAGTAGTATAGATACCGATCACATCATTTACAAAACCCAAGCTCTTAAGAGCAAGGAAATGAAAAGTTAAAGATATAATTAATCTTAGGTTGCCTACATAATAAACATAAACACATTATTTTGATCAAGTATTAAGAAATGCACTTTTTATCACAACAGAACAGTCTTAACTCTGACACAAAATAAATACAATTATTTCATCTGTAATCTCAATACACAACCTTTCTAAAGAAGAAATATAAACATGGCCAGATTGTGAACTTCTTACTTAGTTACTGACACAAATAGTACCATTTAAATCAATGGGATTTATTGCAAAGCACTGTACTACTTAACATAAGGGTGGCAGAATCTGGCCCTACATATGTACACATTAATGAGACATTTATCAGCTTCAGATACAAGTCCATATACATATAGCCAGACTATGGCCCATCCTGCTCGCTGCTAGAAGGGAGCAGGGGGGTCGTAAGGGATCCTTTTACTCTTTTCTACCAGTGCCACATACCTCTGCTTTTTTCATGCAAGGGAAGCAGGCTTTGCAGAACCACTCTGTCCCCGCCTTCACCCAGGTGGGTGGAACCTTGATTCCACACGTGGTGTAGTTAAGTTGACACATCAGGGAAAATATACTACAAGTATAGAGACCTGGATAGTTTATCCCTTCCCAGAGCAGCAGAGAGATTGTGACTTACTGTGGTTTTCCAGGAGCAGCACAACAAAGTACCACCCTTTATTATGGGTTAGACAACAAACTGATGATTTGGTCCATAATTGTTATATGTTTTCCTATAAAGCAACATATACAGCATTGTAAATCTCGAGTAATTATAACTATTTTATAAAAATATTCTGTCTATAAATATAATACTTTAAACGTAAAAGTATTCCTTAAAATTATACAAAAATCAATATAACACATTAAAAATGCCATGGGTCGGAATAAAGATTGTGTTGTACTGAAAAAGGTGTTTGTTTACACTTGATAAGAATAACATATTTATGTTTTGTATAGAATACGTTAAAAATGTATTATGTTACATATACGGTTTAATATGTCTTGGATTATTTTTCTTTGCTTATAAGTGCTTGGATTTTGTAAATGATCTGATAGGTAAGTATGGTGATGTCACACAACAACCTTAACTGTTTTTTTTAAATAAAATGTATTGTTTTTAGACTATATTTTAAAATTAATTGGAAGGATCCTTTAAAGGTCAAATTTGCTCTCCTCACTAATAAATCTGACAAATGTTTTACTTTATTTTATCAACTGGTGGTTTAACAGCTTTGGTTGAGATTTCAGACATTTTTGCAGTAATTCACTTTACATAAAAAGCAGTTTTGACTTAAAAGTTGGAAGTTTGCAAATTTTTTAGTCATATTATAAACTAATTCCTTTGGCAATAAAAAAAATCCATTGGCCAAAATATTGCTGTCTTAAAAAGCAGATACTGCTCTTTCTTAAAGATTTTAATATGCATAATTACTGGGACTAGCACAGTGTACACTTAGCCATCAGTATACTAGAGAAAAAAGAATATTCCCTGAACATTAGCAAGACAAATTGTATAAGGGTTAGCAAAATAATGAAGATTATTTTGCTGCTATAAACACTCAGAATACACAGATTATCTAGCCACGTATGTGTATGGATGATGGAAGGAGTGTAACTGTTAAGTAACTGAGCTCTGACTAATGCAATTAGGTTTTGGAGAATTTGATATTTTTTTAAATTTTGACAAATAATACTGATGTTTATTTTTAAACATTTTGATTTGTATCTATTTAAATTTTCACAGTTGTACAAAATTATGCGTTTTAAGCCTTTTTTAATCAATTTATATTTTCAAATTGTGGGAAATTGTAGAGGAACCTGACAGTAATTGTTTGGTGGACTTTGAGATTCAAAAAGTTAAACCTAAACCGTTAAAAGTTAATCCATTAAAACATGAATTCTCAACATCAAATGTCAAAATATACAGTGTAAATATCCTTAAATCAAAACTCTGATAAATTCTCAAGCAACATTTTTCTTACTTTGCCTATCTGGAAATTTAGATGATCATAGATGGAAATATTTTTTCATCAGTTTGTGTATGTATGGTGAAATCAATGTTTACTGATATTTTCACATAAAAATCTAATCCATCCAAGCCTAAATTTAATGGAATTTAATAACAGCAGATCCTGATGGACTATTGCAGGAGTCGGCAACATTTGGCACGCGGCCCATCAGGGAAATCCACCGGTGGGCCGGAATGGTTTGTTTACCTGCAGCGTCCGCAGGTTTGGCAAATCGCAGCTCCCACTGGCTACGGTTAACCGTTCCAGGCCAATGGGGGCTGCGGGAAGCGGCAGCCAGCACATTCCTTGGCCCACACCGCTTCCTGCAGCCCCCATTGGCCTGGAACGGTGAACCGCGGCCAGCAAGAGCTGTGATCGACCGAACCTGCGGACGCTGCAGGTAAACAAACCAGCCCGGCCCGCCAGCGGATTTTCCTGATGGGCCACGTGCCAAAGGTTGCTGATCCCTGGACTATTGTATTAATAATCAGATTACATTATTCCTTTTTTAAAAGCTATAATAAAGGAAAAATACATTAACATTCTAGTATCTGGTTTACATATCTAAATACAAGTGAACTTATGATTTAAGATGAAACTTTCCTTAACCTATGTTGTTGTGCATAGACTTCGGTTCACATTTACATACATAATATCATAGGTGATGATCCAGATGTCTGCAAAATCTAAGTATAATGAGGAGAGAGGGCAAAAAGGAAAGAATGATTTTCTGGACACAGCATTTTTAGAAAGTTTTAGGCTCTAATTTCCGTTTCTAAATTAAAATTTTAACTATTATAAAGAATAAAGACAAACAGGTTCTTCTTATGTCTATTAGGAAACATTAGGAAAATTATACAAACTGTCTAGAAACCTGGATGAGAAGGAGAATGAACGGAATTGGTGATTGAAGAGCGGGGCATGTCTAGTGGGTAGAATCAACTATCGTTGAATTAGAAGAGAGAGGCGTGGTCATTGGTAATAAGTTATTAATTATTATCATTGTATGTATTATCATAGTGCCTAGAATCCTCAGCCATGGAGTAGGTCCCCATTGTGCTAGGCGCTGTACAAACACAGAACAAAAAGATAATCCCTGCCCCAAAGAGTTTATAGTCTAAGCATAAGACAAGAGACCACAGACAGATGGGGGATACAAAGAAACAATGAGACATTATGGTCAGCATGGTAGGCTATGGTCTCAGCACCTGAGCAGCCTAAGGTTGACAATGCTTTTGTAGACCTCATGGCAAAGGAGAGTTTGAAGGGTGATAATGAGTTGGTTTTGCAGATGTTTACTGGGAGCTTGTCCTAGGATGAGGGTGCTTGTTTGAAAATTTAACAAGTGGATGAGAGAGGCTGACATCATGGACCAATCTGAGGTCAGAGTTAACCTTTCAATACTGAATGAGAGATGATAGGTAAGGTAGGGATAGGTCGTGAAAGACTTGAAAGTGAAGACAAGAAGCTTATGTTTTATACGATAGAGAAGAGTGAAGTAGTGAAAGGATTCAAAAGAGAGGGTGACATAGTTAAAGTTTGCTAATCTAATTCTGACCCAGTTCAGTAGTAAACAAAAGTTGTTACAATCTGAAAGATATTTGTGGTTTATGTGGAAAGCTGAATTGGTATTCATAGTGGAAAGTTGTCCGCAGTACAAACCACTATCCAAAGCTGGCATTTTTGTTGGCAGATTTAGTACAGAAGGCTGATGAAAAATTACACACTGAGGGTGTGGAAAGGTGGGATTTAAGCAGAATAAAGTAAACAACCTGCACACACACACTATTTGCTTTTTCTGGTGCAGCCCCATCCTTCCATTCTGTCATCATGTAAATTACATCAATTTACCGATGTGTAATTTACTGCACAATTTAAATGGGTTGTGCCCGGGTTACCTCACAGCCTCTCTCTCTATGTGATATCACAACATATGGGTTCAGCTGAGGTGCTGAATCTAAACAGCCCATAGCTGTATCATACAGGGACTGTTGGTGCAGGAAGTTTTCAGTAAGGGGGCCTCCATTATAGATTCATCGATTAAAGACAGGAAGGACAATAGTGATCATCTACTCTGTCCTCCTGTATAACACGGGCCATAGAACTTCCCCCACATAATCCCAGAGCATATAGTTTTGAAAAATATCCAATCTTGATTTAAAATTTTTGTCAGTGATGGAGAATCCACCACAACTCTTGGTAAATTGTTCCAATGGTTAATCATGCTCACTGTAAATGTACACCTTATTTTCAGTCTGAATTTGTTTAGCTTCAACTGCCAGCCATTGGATCCTGTTATACCTTTCTCTACTAGACTGAAGAGCCCATTAGTAAATATTTGTCCCCATGTAATTACTTATAGACTGTAATCAAGTCACCCCTTAACCTTCTCTTTGTTAAGCTAAATAGATTTAATCTATCACTATAAACCAGGTTTTCTAATCCTTTAATCATTCTTTTGGCTCTTTTCTGAATCCTCTCCAATTTCTCTACATCCTTCTTGAATTGTGGTCACAGTACTCCCAGCAGCAGTTGCAGCAGTGCCAAATACGGAGGTAAAATAACCTCTATATTCCTACTCGAGATTCCCCTGT